CAGAAGGAAAGAAACGATGAGAAGTCGTAAATCTCAGAAATATAAATGACAATAACAAGGATAAGATACATGAACGTTTGAAAGATGTATTTCACAAATTTCCCCCCAAATTGGGAGACAATGCAGAGGAATGGAGCCACTTCAAAGCATGTGTGTACAGAGCATTAAAAGAAGAGTACGGCACCAGGAAAATAAGAGGGCAGAAAAAGAAAACAGCTATATGGTGGAATGACCCAGTGAAGGAAGCCGTCCAACTGAAGAAAAAGGCATTCAAAAAGTGGTAAAAATCAAAGACAGAGGAAGATTACATCCTATACAGAAAGGACCGCCGCTATACATCAAGGGTAGTAAAAGAAGCTAAGGACAGATCCTGGTCAGTATATGGAGAACATCTGGTAACAAAATGTAAAGAAAACCCTTGAGAGTTTTACTAGAGAGTTTAAAAAGCATGAGGATGCGGGAACAACAGTTCAACCCAACTGAAATAGTCAATGATGAGCACGGAAAACCTATTTTCAGAAAGCCAAAGATTAAGGAAAGATGGAAACGCTATTTCCTGGAGCTGCTGAATCCTACAGCAGAAACTACAGCAAACAGCTTCTCTGTCTCACCGAAAGAAACCACTCCAGAACCATCACAACTGCTGTGTGAAACCCAACATGTTATAAAGAATAGCCCCACAAACAAAGCAATAGGCGTTGAAAACATCACAGCAGAAGTGATCAAACTATACGGCCATATATCAGAGAACTCTGGCTATGGAGGATATTTAACCTGGCCTGGGCGACAAAAACAACACTGCCGTGTGGATATGACGTTTGCCAAGATATTGGAAATGAAAATGAGACCAATTGTAGAGACTCAACCCAATGAATCCCAGTTTGGCTTCAGAAAAGGCAGGGGCTGTACTGACGGTTTTCTGCTTTCGGACAGTTGTGTGAGACTGCCATTGAACATGACAAGACCTCAATATCGTCTTCGTGGACCAAGAAAAGGCGTTCGACAGGGTAAATAGATGTCAACTTTGGGAAGTCTTAGAGGTTTTAGTAGCGGTTTTACGGCACTCGCAACTGCATAAGTATAAGGTCATATGAGCGCCAAGGGGTGGATGTCAACAGAGAAGTCCTTACAGAGAATCAAACTTACTCAGCTCACCTTTCTAGCTTCAACAGCACAAAGTCTGCTTAGACTATCAAGGCACCGCGGAAACAGCGGGCCACAAGAGTGTGACAAACATACAAAAGAAGTTGAGGAAAATGACGATAGTAAGGGTTAGGAAAGAAAAAGGCGCAGTTCCCTGTCGTAGTTCAGGCACAGTTATGAGCAGGACATTGTTCGATCAGCCCTTTTACAATTCTACTTTGCATTAGAACGTCCCCTCTTTGAGAATGGCATAAAGACACTTCAGTCAGTGGCACCGCCCCGGGGGGTAGTCTTAGAGGAATATGGTATTAAAGGACAATTGCTCAAGAACATTGTGGCACTTTATAAAAACAGCCTGTGTGCCTTAAGGTCTCTATACAAGGCATGAGAAAAAATCAATGCACGCGAAATTAGACGTTTCCGCAAAACCACCAACGTCACCAGAAGAGACCGCATAAGGAACGAGCCCATACGTCTACCAGTAGTAAATTCATTTAGAGCGTCAAAGAGTCAAATGGTTCGGACATCTAACCAGAATGCCCCAGAAACAACTAGCGGCTAGAGCTTACAAGACCCGCGAATCCGGCTTCAAATCAAGAGGAAGACCAAGAAAGACCTGACTGGATGGGGTTAAAAAGGTCCTGGAACAATAACTAATTAGCATATAATCTATTACAGACGCCGAAACCTGCACCTCCCCTCGACATCCTAAGGATACCAGAGGAAGGAAAAAGTAAAGTAAAGTAAGAACTGAGGAGCAAAAGTCTTACTTTGATGGAACTGGCATCTTTCATCAGTGGAAAAGAGTAATAGGCTTACACCGCTAATACCGTGAGTCGTGGAAGGATGGCGGCGGTGGCCATTATAAGACAATAAGGATATATAATAGAGAAAATGTATATATGAAGTTGAAGAGCAGGTAAAGTGGGATGGAGAAGAAAAGAGAGGTACGGTTATGAAAATAAGAGGGGAGTGGGAACACACGAAACCACACACACATGCACCCACCCAGAGAGAGAGAGAGTGAGACTAGTGAGAGAGAAAGAGAGTGAGACTAGTGAGAGAGAAAGAGAGTGAGACTAGAGAGAGAGAGAGGGTGAGACTAGTGAGAGAGAGAGAGAGAGGGGGGAGAGAGAGAGGGAGAGAGGGAGGGGGGGGGGCATGCAGTGGATCCCACAATCCAGTACATAGCATTTTTCGTTCTTGTTCATGCGACAGAAAATCTGGATCGGTACTAACAGTAGACATAAGAAACTTTAACGAGCAAATAATTGCATTAGATATTTTAATAGGCGTCCCAAATTAATTTTCGACTGTGTTAACAACACGAATCCGGACTCTTCATACTAGATTTAGGCAATACGCAATGAAAGGCTTTGGGCAGGGGAAAAAAGGAGGCTGGGGGGAGCTCTGTGAAAAGGAAATACTTGGGTCTAAAAAGTCTCGTTTTCTTTATTTAAACTATCGAATGAACTAAGGCACAATGTGAAGTCAGTGATTATAAAACGTTACCAAAATTGATTAACTTTTTGAACTAAAGTTTAAAAATCTCTTGGCGATGTATTTCCCTGTCTCATACATTTCAAACAATGAAGAGAGGGAGCCAAAAGCTCAGGGCGCAAAATGCGTGACGTCACGGCTCGGCGCGATGTCACGTTGGAAGGGTTCAGCTAGATTTTCGCGGATTTGGTAGATAGAAGTAGAAGGGTAAAACTTCACTAGCCAAGGTAAGACTTCTACGATAACCATTTAAACGTTTTCTGGAAGAAAAAAGAATGGTGTACCAACAAGGGTAGTTTGAAAAAAATATGACGAGAAAATTTATCAAATATCAATGGTTAAAAATTGTCTATTTTTCAGCTTGAAATATTTCGAGACTCATTAGTCGCACATCAACCTGGAAAGAAGTGTTTTGAAGGCCATCCAAAGGTCTTTAAAGACATGTATCGGACTTGAATGTTGGTCCCCTAAATTAAACAAAAATACGGGCAGTTTGAACCCACTATCGCAATGAGACGTCATGTCCGGAAACAAAACCCTATATACGGGACTTTCCGAAGCCAAATGACGCTCCGCTATAGTGAGCGCGTTCACTGAAGTGCCTAGTTTTACCAAGTCATAGTAGAAGTAGAAAATTCTCATCTTTAAATAAAAAGAAACTGAACAGGTGGCAAAATAATTTACCTTTGATTTTCTCAAGACAGAATTTTTCGGGATAGCCCCCTTACTTGTGTTTAAAAAAGCGACCATAATCAGCACCAGAAGATTACAGGTGTTACAAGAGAGTAACAAACATAAAAAAGAAGGAGGGGGATAAGGATGATAGAAGTTTGATTGAGGAAAGAAGCAAACCACACCAGAGCACCCACCAAAGACTTAACAACACACACGCACGAAAAGGAGGAGAGATCATGTAATAAGGATGAAAGATACTTGGCAGAAAAGAAGGGGCAAACCACACTTGGCTGACTGGAGCACACACTGTGACACACCAACCACCCACTTTGTTACATCTCAGACGGGGCAGATCCTGATGGACGGTCCAGTCAGGTTGTAACAATCCATGTCACAAACTGTTTTAGTAGAGATTTTACGGCACTTTCAACTGCATAAGGTCATATGAGCGCCAGAAGATTAGGTGTTACAAATAATAATGCAACACCAATTCCGAACATGAAATCAGTTGTTACCTACGATAATTATTTCTTAAAATTTGAGCCCCGAGTTTAGTTCTGATCGGCGGCAAATTTCAAAGAGATTCTACTAAGTCACAGCGCGTCTACCTCAAGTGTGACCGTGATCCCAAGGAAAATATCAAGCAAGGCTTAATTTCTCGACCGAGTCTTCAAACCATTGTTCAGTTGTCCAAATTTTGTACAATTTAATGGTTACACCTATCAATTTATCGTATGATCACTAGATCGTCCAGGTTTTGTACAATTTATCGTACAGTGGAAACCATACATAACAGGCCCGGTAATAACATGGATCCGGTAATAACAGGGATTTTTAAAATCCCCGTTTTTTCCTACTCTTTGTCTCTATTAAAAGTTATCGGCAATAACGGCCTCATTGGAGCCCAACCGGTTATAGCAGGGACAAGGGCTCGTTAACAATGAGTAAAAAGTGAGACAGAGAGAGAGTAACGCAGTGAAGGAGCAAGCCCACGCAAGCCGTGCCACTGCCAGCACACGCAGCGTGTGAAGCGAGAGGGCTGCGGTGTGCTGCAGACCTCGATCTCGCCTGAAACCTAGCAACACGCACGCATAATGTGTCACCAACGATGTAAAGCGTGAGAGAAAATGCCTTTCAATTGACAAAAATACGAAATAATCCAGGCTGTTGATAAAAAGCAAGCTCCACTGGCGGAGATTTGTCGTCAGTTCGACATTCCACAAGGGTCGATTCACACCATTATCAAGGTTAGAGAGAAGATAGTGGCAGCATACTCCAATGAAAAGTTTGCTTTGGATCGAAAGAAGATAAGACTACCCGATGCACATGCCGTGGACCAAGCTCTTCTGATGTGGTTTAAGGAGGCAAGAAGAAAATTGAAGCCAAAACCCCTGTTCGTGGGTACTTGTGGCAAGGGAAACCACCCATGATTAAGTATAGCTGGATTAATCCACAAATGCTTACTTTCCTTGGCATTTCTGATTTAACAGGGATCGGATATATAACAGGACATTTTCTCTACTCCCACCATCCCTGTTATATCAGGTTTCCACTGTATGTGTTTGATCAAAGTTTACCCTAGACAAATACACCGAAGGTCAACACATCAACATCTTTCAACCCACATCACCACTGACACCAAATAAAGTTTTGTTCCATTCTGACAGAAAACAACACAGTTCTTTTCATACAAATTTATTTTATTACATAAAAAGATCTCAGCTCAACCTGTAACAAAAAAAAGGGGATTAAGACAACAGTAGATTGTATTGTAACATGTCAAACCCCTCACCTGCTGGAACTCTCATTACGGAACCCATTAAGACTGGTACTGGTTTGAACCTAATACTCCCAAAATGAACTAGATCCACATTCATTAGAAAGGAAGACAGAATTGATCTGATTTACTTTTACAGAAAATACTGAAGCCATCACGGCTGTGAACGTTCACATGTGTATCAGTATCACATTCTGTTTCAACACAAATCCAGCCCTCATGAGAGAGTGCAAAAAATCATACACTTGGTACATTGGTAGACTCATATCGAGAGGGTCTCCCACGAGTACAGTAGTCTCCACTAAAACACACGCCATACAAAGGCACGCTCTGCTCAAACGCATGCTATTGCCATATGACGGGATTTATAATTTAGAAATACAAATGCAGTCACTTCTTAATGCACGCTTTGACCCGTGAAACACGTTGACAAGTAAGGGAAAGCTTGACAAGGGTAACTTTTGCTGCAGCCTACATAGCTTGCAAAACAAGTCCAGACAATCGGATATTAGTATTATTAGGAGAGGCTACCCCTCGTGCAGAAAACAGAGCGATGGAGAGCATTAACCCACCTTACTGTTGATGGACACATAAGTTAATAGAGGACTGAGATAGTGATATGTTTTGGGGAAGAAACTCGGTTGGGTCACCCAAACTGCATCTTTGTGAAAAGGTCTCTCACTGGTGTTTGGGTAACTTTGTTTAGGTAGGCCTATAAAATAAAAATATGCGTAATACGTAACACTAGTAAATGCGACAGAACACTATAGGAACTAAGTTTAGTTAAGTGATCAGATGCGCTTGAAGAATCAACGCACTCAATGAATCACCAGAGAGGAAAGTATCCCAAAGTGTATGATTACGATGTCACCATAAGCTAACTGAGTTGCAATAGACGACAGGTAGTCTGAAGTGGTCGTTAAGGCCGCGTGGCTGAGCGTTCTTCTCTTGACTATCACAGTTTCTTCCTATCTGTTCCAGACATGACAGTGAGAAGGTCTTTTTGTTGTATTTTCCCTCTACCCCTCATTCAAAGTGTTATGTACCCATATTATATCGACACGCCTAGGAATGCTCCAGAGCACAGTGAGTTTAGGTGGAGACTACAGTACATTAACTAGAAAAATAACGTTGACAAATTCATTTCACATCCAACTATAAACCGATTAAACTTGGGAACTTATAATGGGCGTGGACATTGAAGTGAGAACAACACTTTTTTAAAACACACTAAATAAAGTCAGTCTAAAATATTTACTCTCATCTGTCTGATAATTACTTCATTAAAATGTAGTTGCCGTATGGGACGTTTATTTCATGACCAATTTTACGGTAAAAAAAACACCAAACGATGGATCGAAAGATTTAACCTTGAGAGAGAGAGAGAGAGAGAGAGAGAGAGAGAGAGAGAGAGAGAAAGAGAGAGAGAGAAAAAAGAGAATGAATTAATGTTTGTGGGGAAGAAAGAGGAAAAAATGGGTTAAAATGTTTTAAAATTTTTTGACTGATGTGTGAATAAAATGAATGAGTAGACACATGTATGAAACGATGAGATGATGCACCACCATTTCCTGGCCACAGCAGGCTGGATACGGCACCGACAGCAATTTCTGGTCGCTGGGCCACGCATTAACAGCAACACCTGCTCGCTCTCCTCCAGCATTCTCAACTCCACCCCACCGCAACAGCCACTGCATACTGCAACCCTTTACTGCTAGCCCGACAGCAACAGCTATCACCCGCAACACCGCAGCAACAGTAACAGCGAACCAGCACTGCACCATGACTGCCACAGCAACTAATTAACCCGCATTTACTGCTCCTACAATTGGGGGAAATAAAAAGAAACAAACATTAAGAATGGATCCTGAATTTCTTATGTGAAGCATGACAAATGATCTGTCCTGGTTGATCATAGATGGGTGACAATAATCATGGAAAAAAAAAAATATATACTAAAAAAATAAACATGACATAAAACACCAAAAAAAACTACAAAACTGGTAATCAAATACTGTAGACAAACATAACATGGTGGTGTATAAAATGTGGGCAACCATTTACCTGAATTTAACACAACTTGTAAGAACAAAAACAACACATAATACGAGGGGGGAAAAAAAAAAAAAAAAAAAAAAAAGTTTGGGGAAGTAGGACAAATGTTCATGAAATATTTACAAAGACCAGAGAGGCCACTTCAACCAATCAATAGGCAAACAGCTTGGGACAAGCACCTTTTTCAGCAGGGCAGATGCATGGGCAAGGCTGTCTCCCCATTGAGAGATTAGAAGGCTTCACTGCTGCAACTGTGGAAGTCAATCTGAGGCTTCTGCTCCATTCTGCTCATAGGACCGAGATCTGCTCCTGGAGGCATTCCTTCCACGACTCCGACTGCGAGAGCGGCTTTGAGAACGACTTTGTGAGCGACTGCCGGACCTGCTCCTGGATCTACGCCTCCTTCTTGGTGAACGGGACCTGGAACTGTGGACAACGATATTGTACATTAGAGAAAAATCATAAATAAATCTATTTATAAGTATAATCCCACTTAACTTACACTGATTCAGGGCTCCCCTTTTCAGGCCAACTTAAGAGGTTCCATCACCCTTTAGTTTACTATATTACGGGGTATTTAAACCATTGTTTAAATTTTTAGAAACTTAAAGGGCAAAAGCCAATATCTCATGTTATAGTAAGATTTTTTGCTTGTAAACATTTGACTTACACTACACGCACATTTACAGACCCACACAGAGTGACCATGACTATGATTGAATGCTTATGATTTTAAATTAACTTACGAAATGACCAGCATTAGAGTTGAGGAGGGGAAGGGTGGTGGTGGTTGAGCAGTTGGGCCCATCAATAGTAAAATAAAGTTGACAAACCAAAACGAGTCAATTCCGACCGTAATACACCAAGAAAAATAGACCTGCCATGCAATGAAATCTAAAAGTCAGGATCTCAGTGGGAAAAAAATTGGGACCAACGACAAATCACATAGGTCACCGCCAAGCTGATTTCCACGGGTGTCCATTATTATATCCATGTATATATTCCCTCTGCGCGCGCGCGTGCCTATGTGTGTTTTATCATTATTATTTTTTTAAATCCTGAAGTATCACGTCAAACTCTCCTTGTCCTAGCTCAAGTGTTTTACACCCCCTCCCCCCAAGGATAAGTCACGAAAGACGTTTCAACTTAAATTGACCCCGTCAACGGACGGTCCCCAACACGCTGAAGTCATGCCACGAGGTGCGAACGCACGATTGAAAGTTTTACTGACGGGCACGACTAACCACAACTCATCAAGAAAACTCGCAGTCATTGGTCACTATTTATAACTTTGACCTGTAATTAACTACGTCACTTTCCATGAATAATGAAATTTTCCATTGAAAAAAAAAAAAAAGCCAGCGTCAATCGAAGTAGGCAAGCCCTAAATAGACAGACTGCGCGCTTCCTGGCTCACGCCCTTTATAAAGGGCCTGAGCGATTCCAGGGTTTAATTGTGTCCGGTTTGATAATTTATGCGCCACCTAAAAAGCATAGCTCATTATGTAAAGTGGAGGGCCGTACTCGTACACATAGCCACGAGTTATTTCAAACTCTCTCAGCAATTTTTGTTCCATAAATTTGTATCTCCTCTCAAAGTTGTAAACACACACACACACAGCCCAAGCAGTCGGCGATGAAACCTAGTGATGTAGCCGATCACAAGCCACGGTGAGATCTTGACTCTAGATCTAGACAACAGGCGATTACTAGAATCTAATAATTAGTTAGGCTAGCCCAATCGTTGGGCAAAAACTGGATGATCACATTTAGCGCATAAGATAAATTAGATCGGTAAATTTTTACTTTCACTCCCGCACACAGATGCACTGCTTCGGGGGTCAAACTGCAACTATTTGCTGCAGATCACTTATAAAGCCACTAAAATGTCGCAAATCATTTATTTTCAAGAAAATTTCAAATCTAATTGTAAACTATCAAATTATGGGTTAAAACAGGGGGGCATGCCCCCATGGAACCCCCCGAATGGTCCAAAGAACGTCTTATCTCTATTAAGAACAATCAGATATAAAAAACCCAATTCATTTGTGAAGGAAATGAAGTAGATATTCGTGTTCAGAGCATCAATATTTAGTAGAAAATGGACAACTGGTAGCTAAGTGTGAGACGTGAGGGAAAGTAAAAATAAGTTATTTCCACATGTTGTATGGGTGATCTTGCAGTTCCGTTCGTTAAAGTTAAAAACCACCACCACTCATTTGTTAACATCGAGAGAAGAAATCCGGAAGTCTCAATGACCAAATAGGCAACACAAAAAAAACCCCCAAGGATGCAACCTAACTGCAAAACATGGTAAAATTCAGGAGGGCATGCCCCCCTAAATCATCGTCCTGCGGGGGCCGGGTTTATGTCGCCCGATAAGCCTATTTTGGCACCTCGCCTGCGTTTGGTCATGCGTCCCCTTTCGAACCCCATGTTATTCATAACAACAAGAGCGTCTAGAAAGGTTTATTCAAATTGGCCTAACTTCTCGTACTTGTAATGTCTGATCAGCTTATGAGAGGGGGTTTGTAACACTTTATAGAAAGCATGAAAGATAGAGCGTTATTTTCATAGAGTCGATCAACACACCCCCATGGTATTCTTGGCGAACACACACGTTTCACGGCATGCGTGCTGTACACCAACACTACACACTGAGTGACCCCGGCGGCCTGCCCGGAAGTCCAATGTTATCGGTTGTGATAAGATTCGCATCTCAGCACAGACGCTGACAAGAGTTAATAAAAGTTAACCCCCCTGCACCCCCCCTCCATATAAAATTAGGTCAGGGGGAACCTCCTACTTTGACTCTTGTGGCCCAAACCGGCGAATAATAATTGGGGGTGGCAACTGTTGAAAAAAGGCCATTCTTTGCTTGAATCCTCAACAATTACCTGGCAATTCAGGGTCTCTGGCGTTCAGCTTTGGATTTTAACGAACGAGACTACAAAATCGCCGTTGTAAACGGTTGTATGACAAAAAGTGATAGAGGTGCTTTTTTGGTAGTTCCTACCCCCCTTATTTGAGCCTAGATCTATATGTTTGATGCGTGGTGAGCTAAGATATCACACCTAACAACAGAAAAACATCAAATTACGGTAAAATTCAGGGGGGTATGCCTCCCTGAAACCCCCCACTCTATTTTTATTAGGTCAGGGCTTGCCCCCCCCCCCCTGAAACCCCCCTACTCTTGGGGCCAATAACAATTGCGGGGTGGGAACTACCGAAAAAACGCGGTGATAGAATCAAGATCAGATCTAAATTTTGGGGAGACAATACCCTCTTTCTTGTCTGCTAGATATCTAATCTAAATTCAAGAGTAAAATTACTGGTTCGGTCAAAATTAGGACGAAATCAGGCACGCCGACTTTAAAGCTTTACATCTCCTATCTGCCTTGCCCTAGAGACAAACCGAAACCAGCTACAGGAAGCCCTGTGATTCGTTGACCCCAGGAATGACCTGTTTCAGCTTGTTCTCATATTTGAGGCCCTTATTGGGTGCAAAAGTGACACCCGATTTATTTACGTGTTCAGTCACATTTTTTTGGTTTTCTCATGGATTCGGGCAGCATCTTGACATTCGGCCATTTTCAATTATCACATTTGTTTCTTTGCAAGCTTACTAACATGATTTTTAATGCTTGTTATCAACACTTGGACACAATGATAATTTGTCTAAAGTGGTTTTCCCCATTTATATAGCTATTTTAATGAGTATGTAACTGACCCACTCTACTACGTGGTATCTGACTCTAGTACACTGGTATCTGACCCTGCTACACTGATATCCGACTATTACACACTGGTATCCGATTCTACTACAGTACACTGGTGTCTAACTAAGCTAATATGCTGTATCTGACTCTATTATTATTATTTAAATCATGCACAAAATCTTCATTCTTTATTATATAATATGAAGTGTATACAGACCCGATAACCGACAAAGTCACGAAGTATACAGACCCGGTAGGGGAACTCTTTTCTGAATTCGGAAAGTTTCAGCGCCAAGACTCGGTAGTGTGTTTGTGTGAGAGAGAGAGAGAGAGAGAAGTGCGAGCAAAATATATATATGACATGCCCCAGTTGGCAGGAGGGAACGAGAGAAAGACAGAGACAAACTCAAACAAAGAAAAAGAGAAGGCGAGCGAAACACAGAGGAGAGAGAGAGGCAGAGAAATAGAGAGGGTGACTGCTCGATTGAAATTATGCATTGTTCTTTTCTTCAGATTGTGATTCCCCCAACTCCGAAACGGAGGAAAAACGATCATTCATCGAAAAGACATCCACAATCTTCATTTAGATCTAGATCTAGGCTAGCCTCGAAACTAGATCAATGATTTATGTCTGTCTAGATCTAGAAGAACCTAGGCTTACCGGGTCTGTATACACTCCCTATATAATAGGCAAGCACTATTTGCAACGCCGCGTTCTGAATAGCTCCCGTGCTATTTGAAATGCCAGTACTAGAATCTAGATCTAGATCTAGTAGCAATCGTTTCTACATGATAGATTAATATTGTAGATCAAGTTCTGCCTGAATTGTGGAAGCTTTCTCAGTTTTTTGATAAACCTCCTAGGATTTGACTCCTTTTTTTATGACGTTGTCTTGTTCCGATCAACATGGGTAGATCTAGATTAGATCTAACAATTGTTTCTGACATTGTTTGCACAAAAGTAGACGTCTTGTTCATCTCTCATAATCATAATCATTTGAGTTAGAGTTTGAGCAAGTTTCAGTCGAAAGACGCTTGGATACAATAGCAAGACGGTGCAACTTGAACTTCAAGTTAGTCCTAGAGAACGTATACAAGCTGTCTACTGTCTACGTTCTGTAAGTCTAATGTTCAGTGCTTCCAAGCGTGGCATCAAATCCCGGTCGGGTTTTCCCCCCTTCTCCTGAGCCTAAAATTTAAAAAAATTTAAACTCACAGACCAAGGAAAGCCACAACTGAACTTTAACCAGGCCTAAATTGGTAAAAAGAAAATTATAGGCTATAGATCTACTAAGGCCTACTTTGTACAGAGCTCCTCTTGGGGACAAAACCAGAATGTGCATGCTTCATAACTACATTAAAAGAAACTACAAAGCAACAAGATATAATTATGGGAACAATTTGTTGGTCAGTCGAGAAGAGGACAAAAAAAAACAAAAAAAAACAGGAAAAGAAAAAAACCTGTCCAGGACCGGGATTGAACCCACACTTTAAAAAAATAATGGTTTGACTTCAAGCGCAGACGCGCTGTCACTTCGGCTATCAGAACTTTCGATAACGAAGTGCAGATTAAGCTTGATAATTTTACACACGGCGTTTTATTTAGCACTGGCACTAATCGCAACGCGGCGTTGCAAATAGGCCATAGATCTAGAAGAACCTAGGTTTAGCCAAGAGGGCGCTGAAACTTTCTTAAATCCCAAAAGA